AGGAAATTTTCCTCTAAATTCCTGGATGTTGGGAATATTTCCCCACCTGACTTGGCCAAAAGTCCCAGACCTTGCAAATGTCCCAGACAGCTGCATCTGGGCAGGGAAGAGGGAGTCAAAGAATGGATGGTTCATTCCAATTAGTAATTCTTAAGTTATTGCAAATCAGCATAGAGCTTTTGACAAAAGACTGAACTGGAATCAAGATACGCAAAACATTTTCAAGTGCAAAACACACTGCTTGGAGCATTATGGAACTTTTCTTTTCCCAAATAGGAAATCTGTTTCAATGCCACACTGCTATATAACAGTTCATTTCTGATGGAAAAAAAGTGAAAAGTTCCTAACCCTCTGTAGTGGAAGCCTGAGCACTTGTGCAGCCCCCATCGCTCTGGCTCCCACAGGGTTTTGCAGGCTGGGCTGGAGCTGAGCTGAGCTCCAGCTCACAGCTCCTCGCAAGGAGGAGGAGGCAGACAGGAAGGCAGAGCAGTGTCAGCTGCAGATCGCCCTGCCTGGCTGCCCCTTCCTGGTGGCTTCTTATATTAAAAAGCATCTCATAGACATCCCTTAAATGAGAGTCACACTCTGGGCTCTCCCAGAGCGAGCCGGTCTGGCCCCTGCAACCTGTGGGTACCGATGCAGCCATCCACTTCACACCGCGTTCAGCTTTTACCATCAGAAATCCTACACTAGTTTTGAAACCGCGTGCAAACTGCTCGAGCCAGCAGCCTGGCGGGACTGTTTGTCCCAGGCAGCTCGCGTAGCCGTCTCTTTGCCGCGGGATTTCGGAGCCGGCGCAGCAGCGCGGACGGGACGGCTGCCCGCCACGCGTCCGGCCAGCGCGTTAATCCTCCCTGCCCGAGGGCCCCGCTCGGTGAATAGGGAAAACGCCTGGCGCGGCGATATCTGCATCTGTCTATGCCGCGTCCCCAACATCAGCGTCTCCCGGCCTAACGCGGGTGTTGGAGAGCGCAAGTGGCAGCCGAGACCCTGCAAACAGCCTCTGGCGAGAGGCAACCAGGCACCTGGACCACGCCGGAATGTGACCGGGAGAGAGGGAAACCTGCACGGGCACTGCTGCCCCCAGCACTTCCAGGGAATTCCAGACCAGACTGCGTTAAAAATCACAATTTTTAATCTGGCTAAAAAACCCCAGCAAGCACAAGCCACATACCGGGGCCGAGCCACCCTGGGCACCAGCAGCTGTTCTGGCGAGAAGCAGAACGGGACACGGACACAGCCGGGGACAACATGGGAGCTCTGCCGGCTTCAGCACCGAGTTGGTCCCTCGGGCCAGTTCTGCACATGCTGCCGTCCTCGCGACCCCGGCCGGAGCCCTGCAAACAGCCGGGCAAGCAGCAGCGTCCCGGGAACTCGTGCCGGCCCTTCCTGGTCTCCCCGGCAGATGGTGGCTATAGGCACAAGTTAAATTAATTCCTGCTTTGTGCCAAAAATTGCCCTTATAAAGGGCAGATCCAGACTGAGGAGCATTTCCGTAAGCAGCTAATCCTATTGCTAGGGATAACAGCGGGAGATTGCCATAAACACTCATTGGACCCAGCGCTTTCTGCCGACGTGCCCAAAACCACCCGTCAGGTATCGACCACGACCCACATATTTACCCAGTAGGTTTTTACCATAACGCCCGTGTTTACCAAGAGCTCGCCTTGGTCATGCGTTAACTCCCCCGAGGATGCTCCGGCCCGGGTGTTACAGACCTGCTGCAAAGCCCTCCTGCGGATTACGCCTGCTCCCTTCCCAATGCCAGGAGGGCTTCCCGGCACCGAGGACATGCCGGTAAATCCACCAAGAGCCAAGCACAGGGGGTTGACCCAGAGCAAAGGGCTCTGCCAGCAGCAGCCAGAGCCTGAGCCAGCAACGAGCCCAGCAAGGAGAGCTCGGCCGACTGCTTCGGCCTGTCCTGGCTCTGCAGCCTCTCTGGACACACAGCATCAGGGAACCACACACCTGGGAAGGATTTCTGCTCTCCAGGGAAGGAGAAGAACAAGAGAGACTTGTCCAAGCCCTGAGCTGCAGTCCAGGACCCGGTTTTCATAGGAATATTCAGGCAAGAAGTCAGCCGGCACGCAAAGCTGCTGCAGAGGTGGCACAGGGCCCGGACACGGATTACAGACAGACAGACCAACCGACCCGAGACGGCCTCAGGCCGACGTGGTGATGGCAGCCCCAGACTGCGCTGTCCCCACACCACAGGGCATAAGGTGGCCGGTGCTCTGGGAAACGCTGGGCACTCTCTAGGCCTTCCTGCATCCAGCCTGGTCCTCCTTCCTGCATGAGGAAATCCATGCAGAGGATCCCGAAACCTTAGCACAATAAAGCCCAGTTCACCCAAGAGCTCCCCCTATATGCTCAGGCTGCAGACCCCTAAGCTGCCAAACAATTCGCTCCATCACTGCAGAGGGAGCAAAGGAGTGGGTGGAAAACCAGGCTCGGCCTCCTCCTGCCCTGCAGCTGGAAACGCTCCTCATATCCGCGGTGCGGCCGATCCGACAGAGCTCCGCCACACACTCCAAACGTGAGCGATGATTCCTGAGCTGCTCCCGACCACGGGGCTTCGCGTTCCGCTCCAGCTGCTGGCAGCGCCTCACGTGCTAAGAGCTCCAGAAAAGCTTCGTTTCCAGCAACCGATGTGATGCCGCTGCCTTAGGTTAATTCTCAGTGAAGCACTAAGGATTTTCTATCTAATCCCCCGCTGCTCAAACCAGGAGCTGTTGGGGAAAGCAGGGTCGGTGGCAGGTGCAAGAAGGGGACGCGATGGCGCAGGAGCGCAATGCAGCAGGACCACGATCCCGGGATGGAGAGCGCAGGGGCACCTCAGCCGGGCTGCAGCCAGCGCTTTGCCCACAGGCCTGCAATGCAACTTCTCCGCATAACACAGCTATGCAGAAAAGCTGCCTTTTAAAGTCATTCCCGCAATCTAGATTTACACGATGCCCTGTCTTTTCTATTCTTACCCTTGCGTCTCCATAAGTGTGAGGCAAGTTGCTATAGGAAAGACAGGAAGCAAAGGTTTGGCTTCCAGGCCACGCTGGGTAAGAGCACAGGGAGGTCCCGGGGCTGCTGCCCAGCACGTGGTGGAGCC